CTAACTATGAGCATACGGCTGTGCAGCTTTTGGCTTCACAGCCAGCTGAACATTGCATGAGCCATGCTGTGCTTTGTGAAGGGTTCCACAGTCTTTCGGAACCTGTAATGTGTCCCAGAACACTGTGTGAAGGGAGGGTGGAAGGAGAAATTCTGCTCGGATCACCTAGGCAATCCGAGCAAAAGTGGGAGAGGGGAACCTGTCAAAACTAGGTACCTGATCCTCTCCTCATGCCAAGTTAGGCAGAGGAGGAGGTCTAAAAGCAGAACTTCCCTTTTTGGGTGGAGCTCCACTTTAAGGTAAAAAAGCCTGCTATTTTCAGTTCCTTCCCAGTCCCCCCAAATACTTACCCGAGTCCAATCTCGATCCAGCGCCATGCCCAAGAGCTCTCTCTCACTCCTCTATGGACTCAGTGAGAGCAACAGGAGACCTTGGCTTCTGTTGCTGTCTATCAAATCCAGTGACGAGAAAGAGGAGGGCAGGGCTGAGTAGCGCTGTGTGTCAATAAATGCGGCTCGGGATCAAGCCCGCACAAGTGCCCCAGAGAAAGCTGTTTGCAGGAGACAGGAGGAGCCAGGAGCACTGGTGGGGAACCCAGGCTGTAAAAGCTCTGAGGGCAATCTGTATACACTGCTAAGAAAACTAATAAAACAAAAATAATCTGTAACTAATGATGATCCTGATGACTAGACTGCAGGTTGTGCCTTACTTATCTCCCTAATGGGGCCCCCTCTCAATCCCAGGCCCCAGAGCAGCCACCTGGCCTGCCATGTCTATAGTTACATCACTGATTAATGAGTTAAGTTGCATTTGTTTTGTCTGTAATAACAGCCTGGAGTCCAGACTTAAAATATTCCAATAAAAATAACTGCTGAAATACTTACCATCTCCCCAAAATCATCCCTGAACCTATCCTGCAAAGTGTTTATATCTGTACTATGTATCTGTTGATAACCTTGTGTGGGAGGCTGTATAATGTTCTCCAGTAATATGGAAATGTTGCAGTTTGTACACCGTTTATAGCTAATTACAATTCAGTGCGAGTCAATTGAATTAATGCAGAGGTTTTCACAACATATTCTTGGCCTTGAGTTTAATACCTGTTTTAAAATTGAACACTATAATCTGGTTTCCCAATGGTGACTGTAATTTCATTATGCAAAGTATGTTTACACATACTAATTTTACTATAATGAGTTCCCTCTTCATGTTTTCAATATGCAAATCGTGTGATTTCCCTGTGGTCAAAGCATTCTGATTACTGGAGGTCACAATCATACAGGGAGCTTTAAAAGCAACAACTGCTATTGCTTGGCTCTTCGGTTTAAAGGGAAAACAAAACAATAAAATGAAGAATGAAAAACAATTGAAGGCACCAGGCTCACTGCCACAGCATTGGTAGCCAAGAAAGGAAGGCAAAAAGAGTGTCCTAATTTCACTCTGACTTTTATTATCTGCTTGCTTGTTATTGGTCAGTATTGAAGCCAGAGACAGCCAGGCAACTATCATTTTGAGAAGAACGTCAGCCATGGCAGGTTATATATTTTGGTAGATATTTCCTTTAAAGAGCAACGTTTTTATGTTTACTTCAACAGCCTACAGATATGTAACGGAGATGGGCAGGTAATGATTTGTTTAAGGCAGTATTAAAGCGTTACTAAACCCCTGACCCTGCATTCACTATATCTGGTCTCCCACAGTACACACAACATGGAAATACAATTATTTTAGTAAATCTAAACTGCTAAATACCTTTTCTGTTAGAGCAGTCTTGTGACTTCTATCAGTGTTCAGCAGAGCACTGGTTAAAGCTTGGAGGAGTTTTCATTCTCCCCAATTGTCTTATGACCCTCTGTGTGGACAGTGCTGATTGGCCCTGTGCTGATCACATGCACTCTCCCAAGGAAAAAAAAAAATTCTCTAGCAATACACACCAAACTGAGCATGGGCAGTTTGCCCTAATGCTTTTCTATCAGTAGATGGATTGAGGACTGTGGAAGAAGGGAAGGATCAGAGAAGACAGGATCAAACATCCTTTTAACACAATGAGGAGGATTAACCCCTTAGGTTCTACAGTGAGTATAACAAGCATGCTTTACTGCATGAGTGTCAAACTAGCGGCCCTCCAGCTGTTGCCAAACTATAAGTCCCATCAGGCATTGCAAGACTTACAGTTACAAGCATGACTCCGAAAGGCAAAGGCATGATGGGACTTACAGCTTCACAACAGCTGGAGGGCCGCCAGTTTGACACCCCTGCTTTACAGCATATACAGACTAATTTTACAGTTGTGTGTTTAGTAACACTAAACTCAAAAGAAAACATGTATTATATTGCAGCTTACCAGTTCTTAGATGTGATGGTTGCATTAGTTTTTTTTCTTTTTTTCCTTTTTCTTACAATCATTGGCTCTGAGGAAAAGGGAAAATTCCTCTCGAAACGCATCAGCCATTCTTTAAGTGTCTTCCTGGTTTTGGGACTTGCACAGTACTCCAAGCCACCTGGGCCAGTGTTAGTTATGATATGCATGTGAATTTTGGAGTTTGTGGGTATACATCTGTTACATATTATTAATAAATTATTATCGCTGAGGCAATGCGTAAGACTTGTGCGCCCCTTTCTTTTTCTTGCAGTGCCTTTCTGTTCTTCCACAGCCTCAAGGGGGCTGCACAGCATTGCCTGATTGGACTGAATGGAAATGTTGAAGAGGCTTTGTCCACATATGCCTGATCTTGCTTTTTCAGCGCAGGAGGTTTTTTTTCTTCTTTTTCTGTTGGGATCGAGCCAAAGATCTGTTGTTTTTCAAAAGAAGAAGCTCTCTTGCAGAATGTATCAGTTACAAGGATGAGACAAACAATTTAACACTAGCAGGGGTGCTTACAACAATTGGATTTTTTTTTATTTATGTAAAACCTTTATCCCAAAAGGAAAACACTCTAACTGCTCATATAAACTAAAGTTTGGCTTCAGTTTGTTAGTGCATCTAAATCTGCTAGTACATCTAACACCCCACTCCCCCCAGACTGACAATGCTTCTGTTCAAAAGGTGCCCCCTGTGCTCCTTTATCCAGTGGAGGCACGCTAATACAGGAGGTACTTTACTGGCCAGAAAATGAATGCAGCCACCACATCTAATGATTGGTAAGCTGCGTTATATTACATTTTTTGTTTTGGGTTTAACACCCCACCGGAGTAAAAAAACATGCACTTTATTTGAAACTACATCCAATAACCCACATTAACAGGTATAACAATCCAATCAATTAGCAGCCAAACAGTTCCAATATTTAAGTGCAAATGTGGAATCTGTCAAAGGTCCCAAATGGTTTCCACTTAGTTTAATGTTTGAAAAAAAGTTTACCATCATAAATTCAGTGGTTTTTAATTGTGCCCGCTTACACTTGAGCTTAGTGTTGCTTGAAGCTGTTGCTTGATGCTTCTTTTCGCTACATGTTTCAAGCATTTTTGGCCTCAATAGATTTTAATAGAAATGGAAAAACAAGTGAAAAAGAATGTATCACACTTTTTTCTTAGTAACTCGCCTTTCATTGGCTAAAAATTATAAAAACAAGTGAAAATGATCGTAACACACCTTTTTTCTTAGTAACTCGCCTTCCATTACTTAAAAATAATTTTTTTAAAAGTTCAAGCAAAAACACCTAAATGCTTATAAAAGAAATCCTGTACAAATGTCCACACATGCTCAGCTGAAGTGTGAATGCATCTATATAGTTTAGCAGTCCTCTAAGTCTGCTGGATATACTGTATAAAAGTCCCAGAAAACCAGGACTTTCCTAGACCAAAGTACCAGTGCATGTGGTTCCCTTGGATTAGTGATTATAGAAGCAGCAGTAGGAATAACTGAGCTGTACACAGTTGTAAATGTCCCTTAAAGGTTAAGTTCACCTTTTCATGAAAAAATGAAAAGATGAGTCAACTCCAAATGTCTTGGCTACCCCTCTGGGCCCTGTTGCACATAGCAGCCATGATACCCCATGCTGCCAGTGTAATAGCTCTTGAACTGCAATACACAGCTCAGGAGCAGGGGCGGACTGACCATTTGAGCACTTGGGCACTGCCCAAGTGCCCGGGGTCAGTAGGGGGCCCCATGAATTGTCCCTGGTTCCTTTTATAGGCTTTTTTGGGTGTGCTTTGAGTGTTAGCAAGGACACAGGGGCCCCATGATCCCCTATTGCCCGGGGGCCCCATGAGTTGTCAGTTCACCCCTGCTCAGGAGCAAGCATGCATCATAAAGGTTGTAATGGCAAGTGCTCATTGGTCAACACAGCCATGTGACCATGCTATCTGAGGCATCTTCTTGTAAGGTGGTCATGCTGACCAATAAATGTTTACCATTCCAAGCATTATGATGAATACTCACTCCGGGTCTCTTCATTGCGATGTACAGTGTATAGACCTCTACCATCACAGGGCATCATGGCCACTATGTATAGTGGGGTCTGCAGTGGTGGTCCAGATATTTTGAATTAGTTCACTTTTTCATGAAATAGTGAACTTACTCTTTATTAATCCAAAGAGTTGGAATCCTTAATGGTGGCCTTCTTTTCTGTTTAGTGCAGTAAAATGTTTGATTGCTTCTTTTGGGGTCCTGGCCATCCAATCCTGAAGCAGCATTCCTCTCCAATTATCACAGCAGCCACATTCTTCCCTTCCATCCTTCAAGGGACAGAGAACCTCCTGCTAGGTTATAGGCAGTTACTTTTGTGGTTATTCATCAGAGCCCTGTACAAAAGTAAAACCGGAAGAATAGTCAGATTTCAGCTAGGGGTGAGAAAACTGAACAATAAGTCAGAAAGTAAAATCCAAAAGAGCTACCAAGGTCAGGATTGGAGAAGAATCAGGAGTCACGATAGGAGGCAACGCTCATTACCAAGCAAAATCACCATCCATGGGAAAGCAGAAGTCAAACAAGAACAAGCACCCAATAAAGACAATAGTCCATTTTTAAACTGGGAATGTGGGAACAAGAAAAAAAAACAGCTGCTGTCCAGGTATATCACAAACGTCCTTATTTATTGTATGAATTATACATGAACATGGCATTAACAGTACTTCCCAGGGTAAGACTGACCATTTGGAAACTCGGGCACTGCCCGAGGACCCGGGGTCAGTAGGGGGCCCCAAGAGATGCCCCTGGTACCTTTTTCATAGGCTTTTTTTGAGTTTGGGCAAAGACACAGGGGCCCCATGATCCCCTATTGCCCGGGGACCCCATGAGTTGTCAGTCCGCCCCTGGTCATTCCCCTAGGACCACCCCTGCTGATGTGTTAACACCAATCAAAGCTTAGTTATGGAGATCAGAACCTTGTTCTGGTTAGTGAGCATGGGCTGCACAGTTTTCCTCTTGCTCCCAGCATTCAATTTGCAGCAAGAGGAAGCTGCTTGGAGCGGAGGGTCTTCTCATCTTAAGGGGAATGTGGGAGATTAAGAAAAAATGTAATTGGCAGGAGGCACTCACAGAACAAGGTCGGTATGGACATGTGAAGACAGGTGGAGTGGCCAGTTGCAGCGAAGGTTGTAACCCTGAGGTATGAAAAATGAACAAAGCATATATTCTAGTGTGTACATGTCTCAATTAAGAGCACTAAGTGCCATTTCTGTCCACCACTTCTTTACTTTGCTATCAGAATGAATGACGTCTGACAAGTTGTTTTCTTGACACTGAGAGAATAAAGGTGACAGGGGAGCGATGTCCAGCAGATTGACAGCCTCAGCTCTATTCCTGTAAGCTGTGTGGAGGGGTGTGTGTCTCTTCCCTCCAATCAGCTCTCAGAGCTCTCCTCACTGAGCTCTTCAGAATGTAATTTCAGCTCTCTGCCTCTTTTTTTTCTGAACTTTCAGGCAAGCTTTATAAATTCTGGACTTTGAACAGATGTAGGGAAGCTAAGACTGCAGATAAAAAGGTACAACCTATGTAGAAGGATTTGTTTCATCTCTGTGTAACACCAGAACCTAGCCACTGCACTGGGTATATGTAAGGGTTTATAACCACTTTAAGATGAGCAAACATTTTTGTAAAGCGTAAACCTAGAACACACATGAAGGCAGAAGGAGCAGCAGGTAAGTTTCTGACATGCATTTCAGGCCAGGGACATTTGAAATTATCAAATGCAAACCTCAAACCTGAGCCATAGAAGATCTCAGATTACTTTTTCTTCTTTTATGGCCATTTACTATCTAGAGGACATCTATCAGCAGTCTGAGAATGTAAACAGCATATTATTTTGTAAGGCATCATTACATGTAAATGCATCTCTATCCCGTCCTGCCTCATATATCATAACAAGTCTAATGAAGATCCTCAAACTTTGTCATTTCTCTCTGTTGAAGTCATCGATTTGAATTTACTTTCCCTATTTTCTTCTCTATGGAACTCTTTCTTCCAATAAAAATAATAACAGAGATAATAATTGTCGCATTTATAGTAAACAGCAGAGAAGTAATCATTATAGATCAAGAGAAGGAAAACAAGATACGGTACAGTCTTAGCACCTCAATCTGGAAAACACTTCCCGATCAATAGACGATGAGCCCTGGAGGGGGAAGAGAACAATTACTCCACCAGCTCTGCGGCAATCAAGAAATAAATGTAGCACTTTATGACTAATTAGAATTCAGTGGCTGTCGGGCAATTAAAGTGTGGAGGTTTTATAAGAGTAATTTTTTTGGCTGCAGGTTTAATATCTATTATAAAATGGATATTAACTCCAAGCCTGAGAAGTGTAATTCAGTTTCCTAATGGTAACCATTATTATATTAAGTGGGATTTGTTTACCTGGGCTGATTACCAATATATTTCTTACACTGCGTGACTTAGTTTTTCCATCAACATTGATGACTAGTAACATTTTAATGATTTATTTCTGTTTACACATTTTTGCCTATTTAAAGGGATTCATACTGAGGGCTAAACACAAAAGTATACCTATATACATATTATTTTCATTGGCTATACAGAAAAAATTGCTTGCCTGTTGATCATGAGATCATCATGACGCCTCATTCCCAATATATTGAGAAATAGCTAAACAAACATGTGAGGCGACTTTTAAAGCATCAACACTATACATGTTGAAACATAAATACTGAATACTATAATATTACATTTTAACCTCCCTAGCAGTCTGATTATGTCCATATTTCTGTGCTCAAAGCGGTATGTATTTTTTTATTGTAGGCCTGTAATTTTTAGGAATAACTCACTGAAATCTGTCCGTCTAGTAAACATCCTGGGTATAATAAAATGTGAAACACGAAATCATAAATTATAATTTAATAAATAATCATAAAAAATAATAATATAATAATAATACATTTAATTCAATAATATAATCAAATCAAAAACACTGAAATTGGAAATATAGCGCCAAGTTCGCACATCACTGAGCAAAGTCGCAAAATCGTTTTCAGTGTCTGATGGCGAATTTCCCCACGAATCATTATCACTCAATTCTGCAAGTGGTTCTGATTTACTATCGCTGTTCTCTAGCTGGTCTAAAACCGCTTTTGACCTAAAGGGACACTTTTTGGACACCATGGATGTTTCTCAGTTTCCAGGCAGAAAGAACGGTACAAATGCAGGCAGGGCACAGGACAAAGCACCTGGGACAAAATGTATGTGAAATGGTTTGATACAGTAATGTTTTACTATGTGATTTTAGTGTATTGAGTGAATGTCACTTTTTGTCATTTTCAAATTTCCAGCCGTTCCGTCCCCCGTACGTTCCGACGCTTGCAGGGGACGGAACCCAGATCACAGATGCCGGCATCCGCCGGATTACATTGCCGGGGACACCGCAGGAGGGACATCGTGGGAGCGCAGGACAAGGTAAGTGAAGAACAGATGCTGGAGCAGCGCTGCATGGTAAGCCCAAATGTAGCTCAGGGTTACAGCTTTTGGTACTGAAACTTTACCCCGGGCTACACTCAGGAATACCGTCAGGGAGGTTAATGACAATTTCATATAAAAACGTGATAGGATAAAATATATAAATACTTTAATTGTGGTTTGGAAAATCACAAACAGATATACTGTACAATAATATACACAAATGTCTAGTATTCCCATACAGTTGCCCTCCACCATCCACCAGTTGATATCTACTGTACACTCAAAGAGTGGCAAAACACACAAACCATTCTAATTTTACATAGTTACATAGTTAGTCTGGCTGAAGAAAGACAAAAGTCCATCTAGTTCAACCATTATAAAAAAAAAAAAAAAGTTATAATCCTATACCCACAGTTGATCCAGAGGAAGGCGAAAAACCCAGCAAAGCACGATCCAATTTGCTCATGCAAAATTCCTTCCTGATCCCCCGAGAGGCAATCGGATATTCCCTGGATCAATTTTACCTATAAATAGTAACCAGTTATATTCTGTGTATCCAAGAAACAATCCAGGCCTTTTTTAAAGCAATCCACTGAGCTGGCCAGAACCAACTCTTGAGGGAGTCTATTCCACATTTTCACAGCTCTCACTGTGAAGAAACCTTTCCGTGTTTGGAGATTAAATTTCTTTTCCTCAAATGTCTATATTGAACACACCCAATAAACTTTCCCAATGCTGGAGGAAAAAAGTAAGTGAACCCTTGGAGTTAAAAGCTGGTCGAACCTCAATTGTCAGCAATGACATCAAGCAAGCCCTCTTGGTAGCTCTGGATCAGTCCTGCACAATGTTGGAAAATGAGGAATTTTTGACCATTACATTTTACAAAACTGCTTCAGCTCAGACACAGTTGTAGGAAGTCTGGTGTGAGCGTCTCTCTTAAGGTCATTTCGCAACATCTCTATGGGGTTCACATAATATTTCCTCCCACTGTATATGCCAACAGACTTTTCTTGCAGAACTTACTGATAGTTGATGGTGAGATGGTGGCAATTTTGTGAGTTATTTCTTAGAATACTTTCTGCTCCCTCAGACTGCATGAGAATGTATACTCATGTGGTCTAATTGAGCACATATGGCACTGTGCCTAGGCACAAAGGTCCCACAAGGGGACTTCAGGATGTACAATAAGCTGAGAATGTTCTACCTCCAAAGTAGGACTAAGTTGAAAACTCCTGTTGGAAGTAAGACAAGTGTTCCCAGCCACAAATGGGGCACAAATCTAACATCCCGCATGTTTTCTGTGGCACTGTTTGGCAAAACAGGGAATCATCATCAGATCTTAAGCTAAATGCCAGACAAACTGCTGAAAATGGGTGATTGGATATTAAAAGAGGAAGCAGCAGACCGATGAGGCCATCTGCACATACAGTACCTCAAACAGAAACCCAACTATTTATAATAATACCACTTCCTAAATGAATACAAATCCAAACTCAAATTCAACTCCCCCACAGCACAATCACCACCTTCACCCCCCCGAAGATGCAAACAATAATATAATAATGAATATGCCACAATATAGTTGAAAAATCCCCCCTAGAACCAAAAACTCCAGTGAAATCAAATCCCAAAAAAAGTAAAAAATTTCAAAAATAGCAAAAACCATACACAGAACAAAACACCAACAAGTCCCTCCTGTGTAATCAAGATGAAACAAATGTGTTCAGAGAAAATGTATATCCTCCCAATGGTTTCCACGATAAAGAAAAGAAATAACACATAGTGCATTATCTTTGATACAGTCTAAACATTAATAAGTGAAATCACTCTAGTGATTATCCCATAAGCAATACTTTTCAGCGAAAAATTAGTGAAATAAATGTGAAACAAAAAGTGAAACAACACGGTGTATGTGAATCACTCTTCAGTGCCCAAAAACAAGCAAACAGGGTGTGCACTTCTAATTGGAATAAGGAGTGAATACCCTTACCAACAATCCAAAATGATCACGCCTTTAATGTTATCCAATTAAATGAAGAATAATGGCCCTCCTGGAGATATCCACAAGGCATACAAAACCTTCACGGCAATACCTGGATCCATCAACCATAGTACTCCATGTGTCCCCATACACCTTGCTCCATCCAGATGATGCACATATAAGAAGGATAAGAATAGTGTAATACCGCCAAGATATCTAAATCTATAAGCTTTAATAAAATGGCTCACATTATTAGAGCCTTTAAAAACCGCTTTGTATATATAATATAACCTTTCTGCCATCCAGGAAACGTCCAGGCTCTTTCAGGTACTCCTTTCCACTTTCCAAAATGGCCGCTGGTATACTTCCAGTTCCCGTGTAAGTCTGACGTCACTTTCCTTGACGCGTTTCGTCATAGACTTAATCATAAGGGATCCCTGACGGGTGGCTGAGAGAACGGCTCCGGGACCGGAAGTCCGACTGGGATATCACACTACTTTGGCCTCCTCTGTTTTTTGGGGCTTCTTGCGAGCTATCTACACCTGCAGAGCAGCTTCTTCTAGTGTGCCTGTCAGGGATGCGGGTGTGACCAGAAGTGTGTGGACTGACACAGGGAAACGTAGGCTTCAGATATAGTAAATAATATAATTTATTGAGACTAACAATACAAATAAAACGCAGTGCACCAAACCCCAAGCTAACACAAATACATACAACAAGGTGAAACAAACCCAAACCTAAACTGATATAGATACACAGGTACATACACATATAGAGCACAACGTAGTCAGGCAGGCCGGGTCGATAACTATCGGGTAGGTAGGTACAGGAGGAGCAGGCGGAGAGAATGGTCAGGGTCACAAGCCAGGATCAAACAGGAGAAGTCAGCAGAGGTCAGGATCAGGCAGGGTCGGCAACAAGTCAGGCAGAAACAGGAACAGGAATGCAGGTTACAAGATACAGGGGCCCATGGAAAAACACACACCAAGGCCCTGACTGTGAGTCTGGCCATTCCTTAAATACAACCCCTGCAATCAGCTTCAGGTGTTTTGGCTGACTGCAGGGGTAAGTCTCTGATTGCTGAGAGCACCTGCTGGCCAGCCCTGGTACTGCAGCCCACAAGGCAGGTGAGTCCCACCGTTATTGGCAAGTCCATTCCTGACAGTGCCAGTGTATACCAGGCAGTGAGGGGTACCTGACCAGACCAGACCAGACCCACAAAGAGATTTCCAGTGTGCTGAGGTTATCATCTCTATATGCGCATTTTGATTGCGTATCTGGTGAGTGCGCAATCTTATCACGTTATTTCACATCACCATATCCTTGGATTCAATCACTGGATTTTTGAAGATCATCAGAGATCTCCCCATGCACCTTAATTGTGAACTATGTTGGGTTAATGTGTCTGGCACTACTCACTTTATTGGTCACTCCTCAGTGACAATTTATCTGCACATTGTCACTGGACTTATTTTATTATATTTCTGATTTTATGATATATTTTGGATGAAGCATTTTTTATTTATTTACTTTATGTGAGATATTATGAGATTTTATAAGTGGATACTTTAGCACTGCACCCTGCTTTTTTTTATGATTTATTTGAAGGTTTTATATGATACCTTTGGTGTTTAGCTGCTACTTATGTTTTAAGCGCTCGCTTATCTCTTGATTATTGTTTCACTTTTTTGTTTCACATTTTTTTCACTAATTTTTCACTGAAATGTATCGCTTATGAGACACTCACTAGAGTGATGTCACTTATTAATGTTTAGACTGTATAAAAGATAATGCACTATGTGTTATTTCTTCTTTTTTGAGGTAACACTTATTGTGGAAACCGCTGGGAGGATATAAATTTTCTTTGGACACATTTGTTTCATCTTGATTACACAGGAGGGACTTGTTGGTGTTTTGTTCTGTGTATGGTTTTTGAAATTTTTTGAAATTTTGGACTTTTTTTGGGATTTGATTTCACTGGAGAAACCCAACTATGACCATGACTGCAAGCAGGGGCGGACTGACAACTCATGGGGCCCCCGGGCAATAGGGGATCATGGGGCCCCTGTGTCCTTGCCCAAACTCAAAAAAGTCTGAAAAAGGTACCAGGGACATCTCATGGGGCCCCCTACTGACCCCGGGCCCTCGGGCAGTGTCTGAGATTTCAAATGGTCAGTCCGCCCCTGACTGCAAGTCAATCGCACCTTCACTCCACAACATGTTTTTTAGTCAAATAACTCTTTATTGAAGAAATTCAGGAGCAAATTACAGATGTACAATAAATATTGCCAATAAGCATAATGCAGGAAATAGACAGTACACAGATGGATTTCATAGACTGACTGTTTAGGGAAATTTGGACATTTGAAGAAATGCAAATAGTACATCTAGACTATTAGTAGGCCTTTTTAGAACCTCTGGAGGCTGTAATATTAAGAAACAAAGAAGAGAATGCAACAATAGATATCACATGAGAGGAGAAGGGAAACATAGGGGAGATCCAGGCATGGTCACTCAAGACAAAAGAAGTTTCACGAATTACAGGAGTTACAAAGATTCCAGAGGTTCTCCAAGAACAAGGAGAGCAGATAAGCATGACAAATTATTGTGAAATAAGGGCGCAAAGGGCTGCAATATTGCTGAAGGCCTGTCAACAGGTAAACATTGTATAGACTTTTTTTCAGGGTCTGCACTATCCTCTGCCCCTAGCGCCTCCATTGCCATGATGTCATTGAGAATCTAGGCCCACTCTAGAAGAGAGGTGGGGGAGAAGTACTCTAGCAGTGACAAGAGATGGCTATTCTGGCTGCCAACAGGCAGTGTCTGAAGATGCCTTTTCTAAATTTTGGAAAAGGAACCAGAACAGAAGTGTGATTATTATTATTATTATTATTACATCGAGTTTATATAGCGCCAAAGGGTTTTCTCAGCGCTGTACAATAGAGGGGGGACAATACATGAAACATTACAGCAACTACAAACAGCACACGAGGGGTTAGAGGGCCCTACTCTTTCGAGCTTACAATCTAGGAGGGAGGGGGTAGTGGTACAGGAGGAAGTGGCTGTGGGGGATGGAGTGGTAGGAGGAATGAAGGAGAATGGCTGTTAGGTGAGGGTGGGGTAGGCTTCCCTGAAGAGGTGGGTTTTTTTTGCACCTAAAGGTGATGAGGAGGGAAGGTGACAGTCGGATGGATTGGGGTAGTGAGTTCCAGAGGATGGGGGAGGACCTGGAGAAGTCTTGCAGTCGTGCGTTGGAGGAGGAGACCAGGGAGCAAGATAGAAGGAGGTCCTGTGAAGAGCGAGGGGTACGGGTAGGGTGGTACCTGGGAATCTGGTTGGTGAGGTAGTTAGGGGCAGTGTTTTGAATGGCTTTGTAGGTCAATTTCAGGAGATTCAGGATTTCAGGATTTCAGAGAGGCCTGAATATCAGAGATGCACATTGAGTTGTAAAATGTAAATATTTTCTGACAAAACAGTAATATCAGGCGACAAACCCACCATAGGTGTAGATAGAATCCCACTTCCTCTGTGCACCTCCAGCCTATACTGGGGGTGGAGGGGAACATACAATTTAAGTCCACTGGGGTCCTATACTACAGAGACACTATTGTATAGTTCTTCTCCTGATATTAAGATGATATAGAGAGTTTATGGGTAAAAATTAAGCATTTTTTTTCAGTTGTCCACAGGCACCACATGATTTTACTTATGTCTGTGATCCCATTTGGGGGATTCCCTGACTTCACGTCCTCATGATACCCATAAGATATGTGAAGTGCGGGAATCACCAGAACAGGAAAGCATGGGCAGCAATGAAAAACATTCTCCTACATCACAACTTTTTCCTACTCTACTTAAAATGTAAACTCACCAGCCACTTTATTAGGTACACCTTTTTTAGTACTGGGCGGGACCCCCTTTTTTGTTTTAAAACTGTGTTAATTCTTTGCGGCATAGATTTAACAAGGTGTTGAAAACATTCCTCAGAGAGTTTGGTCCATATTGATATGAGTTACTGTTGCCTTTCTATCATCTATCATCAGTCTGCCCATTCTCCTTTCACCTCTGACATCAACAAGGCATTTTTCATCCATACAACTGCCACTCACTGAATATTTTCACTTTTTTGGACCATTCTCTGGTAAACCCTAGAGAGGATTGTGCTTGAAAATCCCAGTAGATCAGCAGCTTTTGAAATACTCAGACCAGCCCGTCTGCCACCAACAACCATGCCACGTTCAAAGTCATTTAAATCTCCTTTCTTCACCATTCTGATGCTCGGTTTGAACTTCAGCAAGTCGTCTTCAACATGTCTAGATGCCTAACTGTATTGAGTTACTGCCATGTAATTGGCTGATTAGCAATTTGTTTTACCAAGCAAATTAACAGGTGTTGTTTAATAAAGTGGCCAGAGATTGCATTTTTTTTTTGTATGGAGAGGTTCTGAAAAGAAGTTGAGGGGCATTTCCCCGACATGGACACAGATGGCAATTTTTTTTTTGATGGAGATTCTAACCCTTTCTCAATCATTCCAATATGAAAGAAATCATTTTAGTTTGGAGTTGAGCTATAAGTGACTCACGGGGCACTAGTTTATTTTTTTTTTAATTTACTGAACTGCAGTTTCTTTCCCTCTTTGGGGATTGAAACTAGTTCCTTTTAATATGTGACAATGTGACGCAGTAAAGCTTGTTCCTCCTTTTTTTTTTTTTTTTTTTTTTTTTTTTTTTTTTTTTTTTTTTTTTTTTTTTTTTTTTTTTTTTTTTTTTTTTTTTTTTTTTTTTTTTTTTTTTTTTTTTTTTTTTTTTTTTTTTTTTTTTTTTTTTTTTTTTTTTTTTTTTTTTTTTTTTTTTTTTTTTTTTTTTTTTTTTTTTTTTTTTTTTTTTTTTTTTTTTTTTTTTTTTTTTTTTTTTTTTTTTTTTTTTTTTTTTTTTTTTTTTTTTTTTTTTTTTTTTTTTTTTTTTTTTTTTTTTTTTTTTTTTTTTTTTTTTTTTTTTTTTTTTTTTTTTTTTTTTTTTTTTTTTTTTTTTTTTTTTTTTTTTTTTTTTTTTTTTTTTTTTTTTTTTTTTTTTTTTTTTTTTTTTTTTTTTTTTTTTTTTTTTTTTTTTTTTTTTTTTTTTTTTTTTTTTTTTTTTTTTTTTTTTTTTTTTTTTTTTTTTTTTTTTTTTTTTTTTTTTTTTTTTTTTTTTTTTTTTTTTTTTTTTTTTTTTTTTTTTTTTTTTTTTTTTTTTTTTTTTTTTTTTTTTTTTTTTTTTTTTTTTTTTTTTTTTTTTTTTTTTTTTTTTTTTTTTTTTGGATTTTTTTTTTTTTTTTTTTTTTTTTTTTTTTTTTTTTTTTTTTTTTTTTTTTTTTTTTTTTTTTTTTTTTTTTTTTTTTTTTTTTTTTTTTTTTTTTTTTTTTTTTTTTTTTTTTTTTTTTTTTTTTTTTTTTTTTTTTTTTTTTTTTTTTTTTTTTTTTTTTTTTTTTTTTTTTTTTTTTTTTTTTTTTTTTTTTTTTTTTTTTTTTTTTTTTTTTTTTTTTTTTTTTTTTTTTTTTTTTTTTTTTTTTTTTTTTTTTTTTTTTTTTTTTTTTTTTTTTTTTTTTTTTTTTTTTTTTTTTTTTTTTTTTTTTTTTTTTTTTTTTTTTTTTTTTTTTTTTTTTTTGTTTTTTTTTTTTTTTTTTTTTTTTTTTTTTTTTTTTTTTTTTTTTTTTTTTTTTTTTTTTTTTTTTTTTTTTTTTTTTTTTTTTTTTTTTTTTTTTTTTTTTTTTTTTTTTTTTTTTTTTTTTTTTTTTTTTTTTTTTTTTTTTTTTTTTTTTTTTTTTTTTTTTTTTTTTTTTTTTTTTTTTTTTTTTTTTTTTTTTTTTTTTTTTTTTTTTTTTTTTTTTTTTTTTTTTTTTTTTTTTTTTTTTTTTTTTTTTTTTTTTTTTTTTTTTTTTTTTTTTTTTTTTTTTTTTTTTTTTTTTTTTTTTTTTTTTTTTTTTTTTTTTTTTTTTTTTTTTTTTTTTTTTTTTTTTTTTTTTTTTTTTTTTTTTTTTTTTTTTTTTTTTTTTTTTTTTTTTTTTTTTTTTTTTTTTTTTTTTTTTTTTTTTTTTTTTTTTTTTTTTTTTTTTTTTTTTTTTTTTTTTTTTTTTTTTTTTTTTTTTTTTTTTTTTTTTTTTTTTTTTTTTTTTTTTTTTTTTTTTTTTTTTTTTTTTTTTTTTTTTTTTTTTTTTTTTTTTTTTTTTTTTTTTTTTTTTTTTTTTTTTTTTTTTTTTTTTTTTTTTTTTTTTTTTTTTTTTTTTTTTTTTTTTTTTTTTTTTTTTTTTTTTTTTTTTTTTTTTTTTTTTTTTTTTTTTTTTTTTTTTTTTTTTTTTTTTTTTTTTTTTTTTTTTTTTTTTTTTTTTTTTTTTTTTTTTTTTTTTTTTTTTTTTTTTTTTTTTTTTTTTTTTTTTTTTTTTTTTTTTTTTTTTTTTTTTTTTTTTTTTTTTTTTTTTTTTTTTTTTTTTTTTTTTTTTTTTTTTTTTTTTTTTTTTTTTTTTTTTTTTTTTTTTTTTTTTTTTTTTTTTTTTTTTTTTTTTTTTTTTTTTTTTTTTTTTTTTTTTTTTTTTTTTTTTTTTTTTTTTTTTTTTTTTTTTTTTTTTTTTTTTTTTTTTTTTTTTTTTTTTTTTTTTTTTTTTTTTTTTTTTTTTTTTTTTTTGTTTTTTTTTTTTTTTTTTTTTTTTTTTTTTTTTTTTTTTTTTTTTTTTTTTTTTTTTTTTTTTTTTTTTTTTTTTTTTTTTTTTTTTTTTTTTTTTTTTTTTTTTTTTTTTTTTTTTTTTTTTTTTTTTTTTTTTTTTTTTTTTTTTTTTTTTTTTTTTTTTTTTTTTTTTTTTTTTTTTTTTTTTTTTTTTTTTTTTTTTTTTTTTTTTTTTTTTTTTTTTTTTTTTTTTTTTTTTTTTTTTTTTTTTTTTTTTTTTTTTTTTTTTTTTTTTTTTTTTTTTTTTTTTTTTTTTTTTTTTTTTTTTTGTTTTTTTTTTTTTTTTTTTTTTTTTTTGCTTTTTTTTTTTTTTTTTTTTTGTTTTTTTTTTTTTTTTTTTTTTTTTTTTTTTTTTTTTTTTTTTTTTTTTTGTTTTTTTTTTTTTTTTTTTTTTTTTTTTTTTTTTTTTTTTTTTTTTTTTTTTTTTTTTTTTTTTTTTTTTTTTTTTTTTTTTTTTTTTTTTTTTTTGTTTTTTTTTTTTTTTTTTTTTTTTTTTTTTT